CAGATCATCGAGTTTCAACTGAGCAATTGACACTCGTGTGAGAAAACTTCTTCAAACGTTTCTTTACATGGTAAGCTAAATAATCTATGAGAGCTTGGAGAGAGCCACGTACACGTAGAATCATGTTGACGCTTTGTGGAAACCAACGTGCCCTTGATCACGCTTGTTACATTTGACAAGAACGGTGAAACGTTGTTTGTTTATTCACATTAATTATTGTGTGCTACGTCATAGGTTCAACGAGGTATACGAGACATAAACGAATCTTCAATGGAGCTGCCAATCAACGTGCACATAGGTCGTATGCAGATAAAAGAAGTCGCATTACTACTACATGACACGACATAACTAAGACGCCAATTGGGTCGCGCTAGTGAAGGAAACTTATGTACAGGAAAAGGTCAGTCCAAACGACAAATGCTGCTCATTTTAACCCCAGATGAGACTGTAGTAGGCGGAGAAGACCGTCGTTCAGATCCTTCGTGATGATAATTTGTTATTTGGAGATATCACCAAATACGGGATCCGTGCCGACGAAGGCTTTCAACTTCTTGAGACCCTAGGCTGACTTAGTTCCGAATTGACATGACTTTAGTCTGCTCTAAATCTCCCTTCGAACCTGACAAAAAAATTCTGATCAGAGCGAACATTACTGTTCGTGTGTGATCACCTCAGTCGCCGCGGTTTATGTAAGCTCAAAACAGCAAGCCACCGCTCGTGCTTGGCTTTGGCTTGATAGCAATATACCAGAGTAATTCGTGCTCCTGAAAAGAATGCATAACTCACGAATCGGCGATTGTGATGACGAATCAGCAACTTGTTCCAAAACCTTCAGAGCCGCACTTCTGGCTCTGTGATAATTTGCACAGGATAACAGAAGAGTTGCGTTCTCGAAAACTGACCCTTGTTCCAACATTTGTTCTTAGCATAACGGGGTGAAGAAAAACGTACGGGTTGCCAAACAAGACGGCTTTTCCTGCTGAGTCTTTGACGGCGCATGCAGATGAATCATCAAGTGGAAAGTGCTACACTATCTTACATGTTTGCATTGTTACATATATACTACATTCTTTGATTAATATTCGTGATGTCAGGTTGCTCCTATTGGCAACGTTAAAGATAGCTGTTTGGTTTGCAAACAAGCAGAAGCCTTTACTTACTTTTCACCGACTGAAGCTTCTACTGAATCTTTATCACGTGCTTGAGCAGGTTCTTAAAGAGGTACTGCATACTATAATTTAGGTGACCTGCAAATAACAATGTACGCTGACTGTATGGCGAAACGAATGAAGCAACTATTATGGACATTAGATTTCAAAAAATCTACTTTTCATCTACCAAAGTTTGCGGCATGTCGAAGGAACTTGCTCGTGCACAGGACGATCGGCGCCTAGACGAAGTATTCGCCAAGCATGCGCATCTTCCGATTATTTCTTTTTTGCTTTCTTGGACTCGATTTGTAAAAGCCTTTGAATCTCCTTCGTGGATTTACTTCCAGGTGCTTCACTAACCAAATCATAAAGCTTATCATAATCTTTTTCCCCAAAACCATTTTTCTTAAGCAACACCGGTATCGGCGATACGGGTGGTTTGCACTTTTGCGAATTGTAGCCAATTCATCATTCTACGGCTCGAAAAAACTTCGATTCCGCCCATGTCAAGACAAAATAGTTCGTAAAGTTCAAATAGATCTGGATTGGTCTTGTGCAATGCCTCGGTCACCTCCTTTAACACTTGTATTTTTAAAATATTCCTGTGTAGATGCTCACTACTTTCATAAAACAACATCTTGAGCAATTGTTTATCCTCGTACGGAAAATATGCGCGAACAGTTGCGGGCATCTTGGGATACTTCTTGATAAAATCGTTGGTATTCCGCCTCCACCTGCGTAGTTTATAACCCATTGTTTTTGGTTCAAACATCGTCCACAGTGGCTCAGCAAGTCCCACCTCGCTGAAGACGTCGTCAGGATGCTTTTTCAATTTCAGCCATTTCTGTTGCCTTGAATACAGCTCATTCAATTGGTTTATTGCTAGATCTTTTTCCGTAATCGGTTCGAAGAACTCAGAGATCCATTCGACCATTAATTCGTCTTTGTAAAACTTCATGATAGTTTCAGCGGTCGTCGTAACTAAACCACCAGGGATTTGCTCGTTGTAGGCTTTCACGTAAGAAAAAACTCGATCCAATTAGCCATATAGTCGTTTTCGCGAAAGAATGTTTCCGTTCTGGTGCGCACAAGTTGCTTCAACTTATTTGTGGGATAATTTTTCTTTAACCACAACTCCAGACTACGAACTTTATTTTTAACATCATCGACCGTCTTTTCAGCAGCATGAGCCCTCTTCCCAGTAACACGAAGCTCTTTTTCAGCAGCATGATCCCTCGTGCCAGTAACACGAAGCTCTTTTTCAACAGCATGAGCCCTCGTGTCAGTAGGACGAAGCTCCTTCCCAGCTGCAATAATCTGGAGCAGCTCATTGTAGCTGCACTTAGCTGCAAGCTTCTCAGAGAATGTGGTTTGGCTGCTAGAGGATGCCAATTCGACGCCCGATATGAATTCTTTCCAGTCCTCTACATCTTTCAATTGATCAGGTTGCTTTACAAAGAAATTTTGCGCGATGGGTTGTAACACCTCAAACACCTTGTCCGTTTCTTCCACTGATAGTTCATCCGCGCCGTGAGCGCCATCGATTTCCAATGCTTCGGGAATTCCAAACCGAGCAGGAAACCCCCTCTCTTCTTTTTCGTCGTGTGAGACCTCATTTTCTTCTGAATGCCTCGTGGTAGAGACTTCAGATTGATTTGCGGGGAATGGCGAGGCAGCGAGGGGCAACGGAGCTGGGATGATGGAATCAAATGACCTTGCATGAGAACCATGACGCAGTAGACATGCTGCAAGAGTCCCATACATGAGAGCGGACGGAAGACGCATCATTGTGTAGCAGATGCGTTTCAAACTGTGTAGTGAGGATAATATTTTGGAATGCAAAATGAAAACCACTTAAGAATATACTTGAAAAATATACAGTACTTTATCGTATGTTTGAAGTAGATCAGTGGTACAAGATGGGAGCAAAAATCCCATACAAGGGAGGTGACACTGTTGTGCCGATCAGTTCATTGGACAAAACCTAGATTTGGTCGCCTCCGATCAGTTCATTGGACAAAACCTAGATCTGGTTGCCTCCGATCAGTTCATTAGACAAAACCTAGATCTGGTTGCCTCCGATCAGTTCATTAGTCTGGTCTGCTCAACACGTAGCATCAAACACCATCGTGTTGCAACAAAAGTATGCTTAGTGAATAAACAGTGCAACATGGCTGTACTAAGAAGAAAATACTAGAGGCTAGTATTGCTCGCTGAAACAAATAGCTGCGACCAAAAGACAAGAGGTCAGCTGAAAATATAGGAGACGAGACGGCCTAATAGGACATAGGAACTGTTGCTGCCTGTTTATGAGATGACAGGCAGATTTGCGCGTCACATCGAAAGTCCAACAACATAAACTGCTGGATAGACAGGGTACCGCAAGCGTACAACAACCTGCAAAGCGACATGCTGACCTCCAAATTTTAAGGGCTCGTGAGATTGGACTGCAACTTGATGGGATGCTGTCCGAACGTTTCAGACTTGGCTGCTCAAAATGACAAGAGTAAAGACAACTCTTTTCACGTCGGAAAATAGTGCGCAACGGCGCACTTGACTTGTATTTATGATCTCCTACGTAAGATGATATTCTTGCTAGTGCATTCCACCAACGACATGTCGTCATCTTGACAAAAATGCACTAGCGCGTCGTTGACCAAGAAAGACAAGTTGAAGTTTTGAAAGCACTTTGTTGAGGATCTCTTTATTTAGTGATAATTCAATACCAATGAAATCTGCTACTCGACGAGGTCGATACACCAGGTCGTCAATCGGTCCAAGTGCATCAAACCAGTCCGATGTCATGGGTTGTGGCAAGTTAATGTCGCGACAGCAAGGAAACTGATACTTGATCAATGTCAAGAGACTAACAGATTGTCGTCGGGATATTGGAGAAAATACACGAGTGCTTGAATGCGCGCGAACGACGGAACAAATGGTTTCCGTTGCTTATCGCAGCGTTGTAAGCTCTTGTCGTCTATTATCTAATGTTTTGATGGCTCTAATGTTGTCGGTCTTGAAGGATGGACACAGACCGCTAGCCCATGTACTCGTAGTCTTCGTTGGTGCAAAGACCTTCGTGATCCTCAATTCATGAGGCCTTTATTCTTTACAATGCATGTCTCTATTGTGGTCGTAGGTTTTACGAGCTTCTGCTCCGGCAAGGTCAAAAAGTCTCACTTAACATGAACGTGGCTTCCTCGAGGGCTTTAGTATCGACAAAACTACCAGAAGCTGCACACGCCGGATTTTTAGTGACGTGAAACCACCTTTTTCCTGCCAATTCACAGCTTCATATGCTTGCACGCACATCGCCGAAAAAAGCTGTCGTCGCCTGCTGCTAGTCCCTGCTTGACGTATCTTTCAGACAAAACCCCCCTGTCATCTTCAATTTGAACTCGTCGAATGACTTACGCAATGACTTGTAGCCACATCTCCCCCATCCAAGCGTTGCTCGAAGATGCACCTCATCGACGTTGTAATTTCCAAGCGTCTGGCGAACTCTACTGCGCCAGAAAAGACAACAGCGTGAGTCTTCAGCCAGGCCGAAAACTCGTGCTTGTACTTGAGCGGAGATGACCTAAGTCTTCTCAAGACTTTATAAACAAGCCAAATTGCTTGAAGTAGAAAAGCACTGGAGTGGATTGTGATGGTGTCGCCAAAACCCTGATTGAACGGAGCTAAGACCTACAGTGCAACGCGGTGCAGCATTCGGTTGCCAACATCGGCTTGAGGTCGGACGCCAGATGATATCAAACAATTTCGTTCGATTGCATGCGCATTCTCAGTTGATATGAGCCTGAAGGATGGTCACAAGCGGCAAAACATGACGAGTTTCTGCTTCATCCTCTATGACAGAGTGGTGCCATTGTCGAGCAAATGTTGCGGCACAGAAAACTCTTGCAGCGCCATTTCTATCTGCTTGCTGAGTCTGTATGCAAGGAAATGGATAATAAATATACCAACAATATCAGAATAGAACAAAGAGAACACAAGGAGCACAGAAGCTGACGACATACACGACAGCTTTGATCTGAAAGAGCCAAAGCGGACACATTGCGAGGCTGTTCTTCTGCTCGGCCCACTTATCATCAATTATGACGTTGTTGTCGTCTTCCAAGATGTCATACACAAACGGGTAGCACAGCATCATACCAGCTAGTGCTGCTGCATTGAGCGCCGACGGTCTCTCAAACTCTAGCACTTGAGAGTACGTCGACGAGAGGAGGCGTTTGCAGGCTGACGCGGTCCAGTCTGCGAACGCTTTTAACCTCGTCGCCTCTTTCTGAGCTGCTGCAAATAAGGCTGGGAAAAGACAAGCTTGCACTGACATCCACATACATGGTATCATAAGATCCAAACGCCAGCTTCACTATTTTCTCGCGCACGAAAGCGTTCACGTTCACGTAAAAGACGTTGTTATCTAGCGTCACTGCACGGACCTGCTTTTAATCAAACCATTGTTGGCTCGCTTCATTCTCATCTAGGTAGTCCAGTAAAAGCTTAGCCACTCCTTTCTTCAATGCACAGCAATCCACCAAACACGACGGCCGCAGCCCTGACGCCACGAGTAGTAGGTCTCGAAGCAGCACACACACTTGACCCAGACGCAGTTGCCCTTTTGTTCGATTCTTGTAAACATCTCTGCATCCGCGTCTTCTCTTTAATTGAGCATGAAAATGCTCAATTAGAACAAGAAACTGGGCATCCGTCGACCAAGATGCACATCCAGTAGTTTTAGTCCTTTTTACCGAGTGATGCAACCACCACGTTGCTCTGGACAAATTGCACTGACCTGATGATTCCATGAATGCTCGGATCTCGTTCGCGAAGCCAACAGCACGCTCATCGCCCTTGAGTCAACTGGATTGTAGCAACACATAACGGAGACCTAAAGGACACGAAAGATTTGATTAGTGCTGCACCATACACTTCAGCAATCATCCTATCTTTCACGGAGAACTAGACGTCGTTAACTATTAAAGAACGCTCTTTGTCCGTGAATACAGCATCCGCGACTTTCGTGCAGATGTATATTTCTATGAACGAAAAACTAGTGACCAACATGCCTGCAAATAGTCTCCTTGATCTCCACACATGAATTTACACCAGAGATCGCGAGCACGGCAGGCAACAGACATCTGCCATATCGCAAGGATCCAACCACAATTTCAGCTGACAATGAGTTTACTTGCATGAAGAGGAAAAGGGGAATACACAATATGAGTGGTTTCGTGATCTACTACAAGATTGTCTTTTTTCAGGTCAACGAGTAACGATTTAGGGTCGGTCTTCCACAAGCGTCAGTCGGAGACAGCCAGAGATGTTCATCTTACGTATGCATTATTTGGTCTCAAAAACATGTCAAAGCAGAAGGAAACAAATATACACGAGGACTACTCAACTGTCATGTTCTTACTCAATCAGAACACTTGGAAACTTAGTATTCCTCACCAAAGGCTTCATCCTCACCTTCGCCCTCGGCAGTCTCAGCTGATACCTCCTCATAATCTTTCTCCAGAGCAGCAAGGTCCTCACGAGCCTCCGAAAACTCGCCTTCTTCCATGCCCTCACCAACAAACCAGTGCACGAACGCACGCTTCGCGTACATCAGATCAAACTTGTGATCGATGCGAGAAAACACCTCAGCAATAGCGCTCGTGTTCGAGATCATGCATACGGCACGCTGCACGCGAGCAAGATCGCCACCCGGCACTACCGATGGCGGCTGATAGTTAATGCCGCACTTGAAGCCCGTCGGACACCAGTCCACAAACTGGATCGTACGCTTGGTCTTGATCGTGGCAACCGCAGCGTTCACGTCCTTCGGAACAACGTCACCTCGGTACATGAGACATGTGGCCATGTACTTGCCGTGGCGTGGATCACACTTGGCCATCATAGAGGTTGGCTCAAATGCACTATTGGTAATCTCAGCTACCGACAGCTGTTCGTGATAAGCTTTCTCAGCAGAAATCACGGGCGCGTACGAGCTGAGCATGAAATGGATGCGCGGGTACGGCACTAAATTGGTCTGAAACTCGGTGATATCCACGTTCAGCGAGCCATCGAAGCGCAGTGACGTAGTCAGAGATGAGATCACCTGAGCAATCAGCCGGTTCAAGTTGGCGTACGTGGGACGTTCAATGTCCAGCGAACGACGGCAAATGTCGTAGATAGCTTCATTGTCCAGCATAATAGCCACATCCGTATGCTCAAGGAGTGAGTGTGTAGACAGGACCGAGTTGTATGGCTCCACCACAGCTGATGACACCAGTGGCGACGGGTAGATTGTGAAGCCTAATTTACTCTTACGACCATAGTCGACCGATAAACGCTCGAGAAGCAGTGAGCCAAGACCTGAACCAGTACCGCCACCAACAGCATTGAATACCATAAAGCCCTGAAGACCAGTACAGGCGTCTGCAAGCTTACGCACACGATCTAGTACCTGATCCACGACCTCTTTGCCGATAGTGTAATGGCCACGTGCATAATTATTGGCAGCGTCTTCTTTTCCCGAGATAATTTGCTCGGGGTGGTACAACTGACGGTATGTGCCCGTTCGTACTTCATCACAGACGGTAGGCTCCAAATCTACAAACACGGCACGGGGTACGTGTTTACCTGATCCTGTCTCAGAGAAGAAGGTAGAGAAGGAATCATCACCCATGGCACTAGAGTCACTTGGGATCTGACCATCTGGTTGTATACCATGTTCAAGACAGTAGAGTTCCCAACAGGAATTACCAACTTGGATCCCAACCCCTTTACGCCTAATCATTCCGAATAATGCTCGCTCCTCCCGTATTACCGCGGCTGCTGGCACAGGTATTAGCCGGAACTTCTTTTTAAGTACTGTCATTTTCCTCCTCAATGAAAGAGCTTTACAACCTAATTAGCCTTCCTCACTCACTCGGTATTGCTGGATCAAGCTTCCGCTCATTGTCCAAAATTCCCCACTGCTGCCTTTAAAAAAGTTTGGACATGTTCAGTATGAAAATCCGTAAGAACCATATCACTGCCATAAATGTTCATCTTCGTTCATACATATCGCTCCACTTCATCAATGTTACTTTTTGCAGTCACCGCCAAGTGTTCACGCTCAGCTGCGTAATACAAAGTAGAGGTAAGACGTAATCCATTCTCTGCAATATCAAATGGAATCATTCACGTACTGGAATTCGAAGTGTGCTTGTACTCATCAATGGCTTGGAATGCCTCTTGTCGGGCATGGTCATAGTCTTTATAATATCCGTCAAAGACTGTCATAGTCATGTATTTTCACGTACTGTTCGGACAATAGGTATAGCAGCTCGTTTCACTCTTTGGCCGAGATTATTATGGGACGAGTATCAAACATAACCACACTGTCCCGTAGACGAACAACACCTCTTCGCATTCTCCTGAATTAGAAACTATCTATATAATGTATACTTGCAGCTACGAACCCATTGTAAAGTGTAGTATCGTAACGTACTTGT